TGCTCCCTGCCATACGAGGCTCCAGATACGCGCACCTGCTCCCTGCCATACGAGGGCCCAGATACGCGCACCTGCTCCCTGCATAGGGCCCAGATACGTGCACCTGCTCCCTGTCATACACAGACCCAGATACGCACACCTGCTCCCTGCCATACCAGGGCCCAGATATGCACACCTGCTCCCTGCCATACGAGGATCCAGATACACGCACCTGCTCCCTGCCACATAAAGACCCTGGAAATGGGGACTCAGAGAGAACCTCACCGGGTGGCCAGGAAGGTGTGGGTGAAAGAGACCTCAGGACCCTGATCTTTTACACTACACACCTTATGAATTCTGAGTCATGTGCACATATCACAACCAGCCAGTGTTGGGCAATGCCACCCAAAAGGAGGAGCAAATGTCCCCACACACAGCTGGTTCCTTCTCACGCCCTCTCCTGACACGTCCACACCTTCCACGTCGACATTCGCACGCGCCCCAGAGCTGCAGTGCAGAATAAACGTGGTGGCTGCGTACACTGTAAAAAGGCCTGCTCCTGAGGATACTTCAGAGGAGGAAATCCTGGCAAATGAATACCGAAATTTGCCAATAACCGAAATGCTGATCTTTATAAAGAAAACCAGTTAAGTTTCTAATTGTTGCCCTATCACCAGATTTTCACCAAGTCAGTGGGGGAGTTGGCCTTTTTCCTTTTATTAAGTCATATACACATAGATCATGAACACATTTATGTATATGTGGGGTACAGTGTGTTGATTTTTTTATACAATTTGGAGTGCTTACGTCAAACTAATGAAGATAGCTTTTGCCTCCTTTACTTGATTATTGTGTTAAGACATTTATGTTCTATACTTAATAGATTTGACTTGTACCCTTGCAATATGCTCCATAGGTGTGGTTCCACTGTTTACCCCCCCTCTATCAAACCTCCCCCCTCTCCTTCTTCCCCCTCCATTTCTCTCCTTCATCCCAGGCTATAGTCGTGATCTATCTGACATAAGAAAGTGTGAGTAAATATAAATTGGTTTCATAAAAGTACTGAGTACATTGGATATTTTGTCTTCCATTCTTGAGAAACTCTGCTCAGGAGAGTATGTTCCAGCTCCATCCACTTTACCCTTTACCTCCTTTATGTTTACATGGAGGGAGTTGGCTTTTAACACAGGCCATGTGGCACACAGAGTCCCCTTCAAGGGGGGTGGCAACATCTCACCTCGAAGACACAGAAAGCCACCCTCCCCGACAGATCCTCCTCCAACCACACCCCACCCAGTCCCTGGGGCAAGCACGGCCTCTGCTCCAGGCCTCTCTGATGTCCCTCCAGCCCATTGCTCGCCCCCCCGCCACCAAGCACCCCTCCTGTCACCTTCCAGGTAGGAGCAGCAGAATGAGCCCCACAAACCCTCCCATCTGACCGTGCTGCCCTCTGGCTCTCTGAGAGGACTGATCTCGGCCTCACAGAAGGGGACAGCCTCACTGCACTAGAAATGACCAGTGGCCAGAGGCTCTGCAGGACAGTGGTGGCCAGGCCACTCGGCTGCTACTTCATCCGCCGGCAGAGCTGTTCTCCCAGAGGCAGGGAGGCCAACCCCTGCCCCCAGTGGCTACCACAGGCCTCCCCTGCTCACGTTTACAAAGCAACACTTTCCTTCCAGGCTGGAGCATTTCAGTTCTTTAAATTATGCCACAAATCCAAGGCCATGATACGGCTGCCCCAAGCTATTAACTAAGTTAGCTAAGCTCACAGTGGTTCACACCAACAAGAGGAGACGGGGCAAACTGGAGAATACTCAGGGGAGTCATGAGATCGGCAAGGGCACCGCGGCCAGCCCGGCTCTTACGCTCTGCAGGGTCCTGGAGAAGCGGGTGCAGGAGGGCTCTGGGGGTGCCGTGGTACAGCCGCAACCTGGAAGACAGGACCAGGACGCGCGTCAGCTTCTGCATGGAAAGCAGGTGGAAACCCCAGCACCACCACGCCCACTATGACTTCCGACACCACCAATCCCATCCCCTGGATAAAAAGGGGTGGCTGAGGAGCGCACCAGCCTCCCAGCACCCAGTGCCCCTGGCCAAGCGTGCCTGGCACAGGTACAGCCCTGTCCCAAGGCAGCCCAAGAACCAAGGAGCTCAAAACCAATGCCAAGGGAATTTTTAAAAACTCTAAAATGTCCCAAGAAAGACAATGTTTGAAGAATTTCCATGGTTGTGTATCTGAAGCAGTGGTTCTCAATTAGGAATGTCCCTGACCCTAGGGGATATCTGGTAATGTCTGGAGATGGTTTTGGCTGTCATAACCCAGCAGCAGGTATTTCCAGCATTTGGTAGGGAGAGGCCAGGGATGCTGCTTAATATCCTGCAATACCTAGGACAGTTCTAACAGCAAAGAATTGTCCTTCCCAAAGTATCAGTGGTGCCAAGGTTGAAAACCCCAATCTGGAGAAATGATGCTGACATTAACCTTGGCTGAGAGGATTATACACCACCTCACCCATCTTTGGACACCCAGCTCCTGAGTGGAGCCTGGCACACAGCGTCTGTCAGTGAACACCCACCGCCCCTGGGCGCCTGTCTGAGAAGACCATATTAATACTTCAGCAAGCCTCATAAGCACATATTATTATGACCCCTCCTATGTCTTCAGGGACTTGCCTAGAGCCCCACAGGGAGCAAGTGACAGCCCGGAACCAAAGCCACGCCCACCCTGCACCAACTCGAAGGCTCAGAGCCAAAGCTAGTCCTCACTGTGGCCTAAAGAACGAACCCTCAGCTCACTGGGAGATGGCAAACATACCCCAGGATGCTGCTGTGATACGACTTAAGATGACAAACATAAGGCCCTCCATTGTTGCCAAGAGATGAGCGGTTAATCACCGCAGAGAGACGCCGGGGACTCCAGACAGAGTAAACAAGGTGGGTACCGTTTGTCCTGGGAAGCAGAGGTAGGAGATTCCAAATTGTTGCTGAAGATCCGAAGAATCCCAAACCCGCATGACAGTGTCTGGAGGGTCCCATCCCGTTTCTTGCCCTCGGCGACCACTTCCACCACAGCCACAATAGTAGGGTGGTTTAAGGACGTGTGAAAATACAGGGGCTGCAAGGCAGAAGCGAGGGAGAGTGAAGAGGGAGTCAGCGAGGGGGACGCTCGCCGCCTGTGGGGAGGACACTCGGGAGATGACGGGGCACCTCCCGCACCCACGGTCCGTCTTCACCTGCAGGCCACAAGCATCAGGACTCTCCGCCCAATGCCCTTCCAGGTGCAAGGGCAATAAGCACGCTCAAATAACTCACTCTGCACTCAGAGTGGGAGTTGGAGCCTTTCGTTCCAGAGCACCCGACATCCAGGACACCAGACAATTTGCTTCTGCCCCAGGAACTTGCTATTCCCTAGGAGTTCCACCAAAAAAAAAAAAAAAAAAAACAGACCCCAAGTACTCTGGAGCAGAAAAGGGCTGGAATGGCTATGCACCCCACCTCCAGGGGTGGGTGACATCAGGCAGGAACACAGTTAGATCAGCCCGAGACATGACAAGGCCCCACAACAAACACAAGCATGCTCCACACGTCACCTCACACGCAACCCAGATGCCTCAATCACCACCAGCCAGTCCTCACCCGAACTCCACACGTCACCTCACACGCAACACAGACGCCTCAATCACAACCAGCCAGTCCTCACCCGAACTCCACACGTCACCTCACGCCTCAGTCACAACGTGCAGGTCCTCACCCGAACCCCACTCTATGAGCAGCTATCATCAAGTTCCATCTCAGCTCACTGTTTAAACTAAGAAGAATTCCTCGATTTCTTTAGCTCGTAAGTAATTCTCCCCAGTTCAGAGCCCAAATAATAGCTCTTTATGCCAAAAATCGCCTTGAGAAGCTATAATCCAAATGGAGTCCAAGACTACAGGGAAAGGGGAGAGAAGGGGGGGTGGGTGAAGAGAATGATATTGTGGGGATCACGCCTATGATTTATCCTATTAGGGTACATGTGAATTTGTCTAAAGGTCGAATATAAATGTCTTAACACAACAATTATGAGAAAGACATGATGGCTATGTTAGCCAGTTGGATGAGAGTTTTCTAAACTGCATATGGAAGCAACACACTGTATCCTATGATAGAATTAATGTACACAAGTATGATCTAATTAAAAAAAATCGCCTTGAGATCATTTTATTAACAGATCTCTTGGGATCTTGGGATCTAAGCCAAGTAGATGATATCCAAATGGATCTAAAAGGTTTTCCGTTTCTGACCTTTCTATTCCCAGACCTGTGGCTCTGCCTTCCTGCCAGTCCCCAGGGGTGGACGGATCCAGGTCCACAGGTGTCAAGCTCCACCCGGGAAGGAAAGAACCTTCTCTCTGCTGCTGCTTGTCTGTTCACTAAATAAATTCAGTGCAGTGGTCTTTATTTAAATGGATGCACGTAACTGCAGAAGACACAGGAGACAGAAAGGGCTGCTGGGGGGGGGGGGTTCCTTATCTGAGGGAATTCCTGCCAGAGATGCTCAGAACTGCTAAACTTGGGCCGAGACTCAGAGGGCCCTAAGAGCCCAATACCCAAGCCGGGGGGGGGGGTCAAAGAACAAAGAGAGGTGAGGCAGGCCAAGGCAGGTCTCCCAGTGTGATTTAAACTTGGAATAACCCTCCTGTTAATGAGCCATCACCACGGTGTCACTGAGAGAACGTTTACAGTAATCATAGCCCGTCAGCCCAGGGTAACAGAGAGACACAGTAAAACATCAGCCATGAGATATAAATCGTTATTCTATTATCTTTTATTGCAAAATGATGAAATAATGACCACTTACAGCTGACAGGTGGTTGGACTAAGAGAGAATTATGTTTCTGTTTCCAAGACTCAGAACTGTTTTCGAAAAGCCCCACTGAAGTCGAGTTGGTCACCATCTCACCTTTCACTTTTACACCTGGGCGTATCAGCTTTATGAACACTACCTGCTGTTTCTTTTGCAATAAAACAAGCATTTCAAACTCTAATATGGCAATGATACCCCCAACCCTGGACTAAAAGCCATCTGGAAATTACTCTACCTGAAGGCAGTAGGACCAGCTGCTCTGGTCGTGTCCCAAGGGCAAATTGATGGCTATGCCATTTCCTTTTGTTTCCTGCCAAAACCAATTATTTTGGAAACAGTAACAATACCAGAGCCCCCTGGCTTTGTCTCACAATCTACAGACCCCATCGTCCATCAGAGGAGTCAGTGGCAGGAACCGCATCGGCAGTGAGTGACAAGGAGGTACGCTCTTTTCCAATAATCATTTAGTACCAGCAGCGTGGGAACAGCACAATGCTAAAGAATCTATAAAGAACCTGGAAAACACAAACCCAGCCTTCAGGAAGTTCAAGGCTCAAAGGCCTTATGGAGGACAGACTGAGGCAGGTATGAAAATGCAAACCCCGCTCCACAGTGGGCTGTTCTGAGAGTCTCGGGGAGCGAAAAGCCTTCCAGGTACAAAAAACACAAACAGAAATTGCCCTGCCATGCCCTGGCCCTCCTCACAAAGTAACATTCAGTCTAGTCACCGGTACCTGGCCACCCAATTCCTACCTTACTGGCACAAAAGTGGGCTCAGCCAAAATTCCAGACAGCACTCAATGTAGTAATACTTGTAAACACGCCCTCGGTCCAGGCAAGTTTAATTAACACCAACGCCATACATCTGAGAGGCGCGTTCTCTGCATCAACTGAGCCTGCATGATTAAAAGGTTAAGTCAAGCCCATCAAATCACCTGCAGAGGAAGGAAGAGAGGAGACGCGCCCTCGGTCACCTCTACATCACAGCTCACCCATCCACACTGGGCCAGCTTCCTCCCTGGCAGGGTAAACAGATTAATAAATCATTTAAATGTCCCAGTCTTAATGCCTTCATCTTCAGAACATGGACACAATTTTGCCTCAAGGCCAAGTTTCCATTCTTCACTCGCAGTGACAGAATCAGAATTGGGCCTCTGATGACATGTCTATAGGAAAAGGCTGCAGCCAGAGTCTCCCGGCTGCACGGCTGCTCGGTCTGGCACCTACGGGACGTGGGGCTCCCCACACGACACTGGGTGACGAGGCCAGGGAAGAACTGAGCAGAAACTGAAGTGGGACTTCCCAAAGAAGTCTGTTACGATACATCTTTAATACAGTATCTTCGGGAAGGCAAATAATTCACAAATACTTGATGCCGTTTCTACCTAACAACTCAGCCTCGCGGTGCACTCTCCAACAAAGACAGTGACGGGGAGAGGCCCTCCATGGTCCACAGCACAGGTCACACGATAGGGACAGGGACGGGGAGAAGCCCTCCTTATCCACAGCACAGGTCACACGATAGGGACAGGGACGGCCCCAGACCAGAAAATTATCTGGCCTAAAATGTCAGTAGTGCCAAGGCTGAAAAGCCCTTCTCTGGAGTAAAGATGCCAACATTAACCTTGGCTGAGAGGATTACACACCACCTTACCCATCTTTGTGCATCCAGTTCCTGAGCGGGGACTGGCACACAGCAGGTGCTCACGGCAGATTCACACAGCAGGTGCTCACGGCATCTGCTGGGTGAATCCCTACCGCCCCCAGCACCTATCTATGAAACCGTATTACTTAATACTCAAGAGATCCTTATGAGACAATTATTATTATGATCCCTCATGTGCAGACAAATGAATTCAGCATCAAAGAGTTTTCATAACTGTCCTGGAGCCCCACAGGGAGAAAGTGACAGCCAGGACGGGAGCCACGCCCACCAGTGCTCATGGCCAGAGCCTTATTTAGAAAAGTCACCAGAGCCAATTAGAACACAAGGAAAGAAATATCCCACACTGCTGTCAGGAAAACACAACATCAAAACTGCCCGAGTTACAGCCTTCCATCATCCCCAGAGGACTGGCAGCTCAGTCTCCCTACGATCCTGGAGACATGTCAGAGGGGAGTAATCTCTCCTTCTAGAACCCAGTTTCTTCCATCTTCCCCATCTCAGGTTCCAAGCCCCCGGAGTGGTTTCTGTGGAGCCAGAGAGGAAAGCAGCCCTCCAGGGCTACGGACCGAAGGACAGAGAGCCTGGCCCGGCAGCGCTGGCCTCCCAGGAGACCCTCTGCATGGAGAGGCTCTCGGACATGGAGCTGCTTCCTGCTTTTGCTGTGACTATTTACCTTCAGGACGTGCCCTCCCTCCACTGAGCAGAAGAACACAGGAGAGGCAGCAAGCCTCTACAGCAAGGGTGAACCGCACACCCAGAACCCGGCTGATCATCAAGTGGGTCAGCAGGGCTTGGTCTGGATTCACTGATGCTCCCTGACAGCATCCACTTTGAAGGAGGAAAGTGCACCGCTCTCATTACCCTGACAAATAAGAGCCCTTCCAAAGTCGCTTTCTCGTTGCTTTGGTTCCAGGGGGAAAGCAGCCTCATCACCTGTGTCACTCGGGGAGGGAGGGTGCCTGACCCTAGTATTTTAACACATTTGGGGCTGGTGCACCCTGGCAGGAGAGATGCACTTGCTTTGGGTTCAGGCTGCCTGTCAGGAAGCACCCAGCCTCCCCCAGTCACTCTCCTCAAATACAGGAGGAAAAATAAGCATGCCGCCAAATCGGGGCCATAGAGAGTTAAGGAAAAAACCTGAGGAAGAATTATGCCCATCTCAAAAAGAGAATAAAGGAACTGCACTGTACGTCGGCCTCCAGGATTATTTTTTTAAAGACCCTTTTTCAGAGGTTGAACAAATTATTAACTGTCTCAGAGGAAAAGAAAACAATTCTTCTCCACCAGAGGACACAGAGGCTGAGCTCAGAGCCGAGGCCAGAGAGGCCTGAGGGCCAGAGCACGCGAGGTGGACTTGGGGGTCTACGTGAGTGATGGCTGGACAGCCACAATGCCCCAACACTGTGCCAAATCAGACCCCACTACACTGTCAGGTAAAACCAGAAAAACGTAGGCAATTAGTAAAACTAGAAAAGATCTTTGCCAAATCTCAGCATCACCTCTAAAAAGACCAAATGGTATTTTACGCATCTCTACCTCCCCCAGGTGTGTGGGGACAGCAATCAGCAGGTGTGATGTGGTCACGCCCTGCACCCTCAGGCTCA